ATATATTTATTGATCGGATCTATTCTGAGATGTCTTAGCATGTCAGACATGTGAATGTACCATGGCACTTTGAAAAGTCTTCAGAGAGCCTGACTTTGAGTAACTTGTAGCTTATGAATTTTAATGTCATTCTCTTTTAAACTTCTCTTTAAAACTAGTAAATTAATGAATTAATAGTTAACTTCGCTTGAAAGACTCAGTTTCAAGTAATATTACTGATGTGTACAAATTACTGATCTTGCAACACATTTCACTCTCTCTCTCTCTCGGTCTCTTTTTGCTCTGTCTCTTACTTTCTGCCTGTCTCTTGATTTTTGATTAACTTTCCAATGTTTTCTATTTAAATTATTTCATAATATATATTACTTTTATATTATTTTAATCTTTACAAAAATAATTAATTAATAATTACTAATCTTTCTTCTAATACCTCATCTTCAACTGAGTCTCACTCTCTGCTATCTCTCTCTCTCTCTCTTCCCGTTTTTCAATTTTTATATGCTAATGGGGCATAGTGGTATGCTTTGAGTATAGTCATTTACACTTCACGGAAACTTCCCACAATAATTTCAGAAATTGCGCTACTCAATGTCTGACAACTAAACAATTAACAATAATAACAAAGGAACAACAACAACAAAACAACTGCAAAAAGAAGAAGAAGAATAAGGAAAAGTAAATGAATAACAATAACAAAAAAACACAATACAAAATGGGAATGGCACATTATTTTCATCACGCGATGCAATTTACTTTGCAACTTTAATTCATTTTCATGTTGTGTCGACACGATTTCCCTGATTTTCTATTACCAAAAAAAAAGCAAAAACCAGAAACCAAAAGTAAAAACAAAAAACAAACAATTTTTTGCTATATTTATTTTTGCTAGTGTTCTGGTTATAAATTGTTTTTTCTTTTGATTCCTTTTTTTGTTTTGATATTGCATGCTATTTTGCGGCTCACTGAGTTTGCGTTTACGTTTGCAGTAGCAGTTATAACAACAGCAACAACAACAATAATAATAACAACAACAACACCAGGGCAACAGCGGCTTTCGATAAAAAAGCAAGAACAACAACTATAATTTGTACTGTTTTTTTTATTTATGACTAAAAATAAAAGCTAAATTTATAAAATTGCAAAATTTTTTGTTTTTGTGGTTTTTTATTAATGTATCGTAGTTGTTGTTGTTGTTGTTTTGAGCCCATTTTGTTTGATTTTGTCGCATTGCTTAATGCAAACTCTCTGCGCTTTCATTACACATACACACACATATATATACTAACTCACTCACTCATACGTCGCAAACGTTTCACATACAATTGTATGTTTGCATTGACATGCAATGCTGCTGCTATTTTAGTTGCTGTTACTCTTCTTCTTCTTCTCATGTAAAATGCTCATTCTCTGATTTAATTTTGTTGCTTGTTTTCTTCTTATTTGATTTGTTGTTGTTGTTGTGCTGCGGCAAATTTTAAAGTGAAAATTATTCATTTTTCTAAGGTTCAGTCTCTGAGTTGAAGGTCAGTTGATATTTTATGTCATTCAACTTGCCTTCCTCTGCTTCTTCTTTTTCTTCGCTTGCTTTTTTCAATACTGTTGTGTAGTATGTAGTGTTCGTCGTCGTCGTAGTCGTCGTCTCGGTCTCCACTGTTGTGGTCGTCGTTATTATAGCCGTCGTCATTATCGTTTTCTTTCTATTTACATATAAAAGTTGTCTATCTCATTTATGCATTTCACATACCTACATATGCTTACATGCAAATGCAAACTAAGTCAAACATTTAATGGCGTACAAACACTTATAGGCTTCCACATATCTACGTCGGCCCGTTTCGTTGACACTCAGTTGCTCTTTTGACCATTTGTTACGTTGTTACGTTGCTCTGCTGTTCTGTTGCTCTGTTGTTTCTTCATATGACGTTATCGGCGCATGCAATTGCCATTTTGTATTCATAAATGTGAAACGCAAATTTATAAGCAATAAAATTATTTATTTAAATAAAAAACAAAAAAGCAAAAGTAAAAATAAAAATAAAAACAATACATTTTGTTAATGTAAGCAAAATTAAATCAGGAAAATAAGATTTTGTTTGAATTGTTTTTTTTTCTTTTGTTTTTTTTTTGTTATTTCAATATCAGTCAAATAATTTACATTTATTTGTGCATTCCAATGTTCTGTTGGCAATTTTAATTTTTTTTATTGAATTTTTAATGCGATATTTTCATATTAAATTATTTGGTATTTAGTATTGAGGCGTTAAGTGTCCGATAACGAAATAAACGAACAGATACAGATTGGCGCTTTTAGACGCAATGGCGGCGGTAATAACATTGAAACTGAAATCTCTGATGCGCTTTTGTTTTTGTAGTCGTTATATATGATGTACGTATTTTTGTGAAATACAATAGATAAGATATATTTGTTCTTTTTAGAGCAGCATTTTGCTCTTTTTGGAGTAGCAAAATATCGCAATAAATCCCTTTATATATTTAATATTAAATTGAATTTGTTTTACAAAATTAAGCAAATTTGAGAAAAATTTGAATTCTATGCTTAGGAGACCACACCATACTTGAGTAATTCTTCAAGATTAACGTTGGTACTCATATTTCGATACTCTGCCACACTTGATGAATTCTGCAGATTGAAAATGTGTAGTCATGAACTCTACTTGCTTATGTATGTATGTGTAGAAAAGTAATAGAAACATTTTGAGAAGTACTTGAAACTTTATTTTAGTACTCGCAAATTATGTATTAATTTCTTACTTTCGCGCTTTGCTGTTCCATTCTGTCATTAAGCATAATATGTATATGTAATATACATATATGTAATTCATATATATGTTTATGTTAAATACAAAATATAAAAAAATGACAAAAATATATTGTGTATATACGTATAACAGTGTCAACAAAGCCTTTGTAAAATTTCAATCATCTCAGGGCTGTCTGAAGCGCTGTCCCTGGCCACATGCGGCCCGCGACATGTTTTTAATCTACTACAATTACGCAATCGCATCTGGCCTGGACGGCCCTGATTTAAATACAGTAAGTTTTGTGAAAACTGTTATAAAAGGTAATTTTAATCTTTCATCTTACTCTAGTGTGGCATGGGCCATATATAATATATTTCTAATATAATCAGATTAGATTGTTACCAAAAGTTTAGACCTTATTTATTACATGTTATATATGTAGATCATACATTTATAAAAGCAGCGACTTTTGATCTCACTACCACCAATTTGGTAGTGATGAAATTTACAGAGATCTTCCATATAATGAAATCTCAATGATTGATTTTTTTTAAGTGGAAATTTAAATAATGTTGTCCATAATGTTGTCACTGTCATTCTGATACTTAGTACGAACGATATGAGTCGTAAGTCACCTTGTCCAACTTTCAAATCTTATATTCCAGTATAATAATAGAATATAAACTTTAAAAGACTTCATTTCTATCCACTTTAACGAAACACTATTAACAATTAATAATTCACTTTAAATAATTACTTATGCTGTTAACTCTACACGATAAAACCACATTCCATACAAATTTACAAATATATTCCCTAGTACACACAGTTGTGTCTTAATTAATCCACATTGTTATTAAAAGAGGATGACGAAATTTTTGTTAGATATTAGATTTTTATTGCTCTTAATATTCAGGCAAATCAATTGAAATCGTGTGAGTACTAAATATCTTCGTATTGACTTCATAAATACAGAATCAATTATACATATATATTAATATAAAATCTTTTCATGAAATAAAATATATAATTACCTTCAGATTTATAATGAAACTAAAGTGAGTTTGTTGTAAAATGATTTATTTTTGATGTCCTAAACTTTTGAAAAAATATATTATACTATTGTGTGTAGCGTCTATAACAAATTTTTAACCAACGAACCACTGGCTTTTGCATGCAAAATATAAAATCGCAAACCATCACAGATTATAAAATGGATCCATTGATATATTAAAGTTCTCTCCTATCCCCAATATTACTGACTTAAGTACGTCAAACGAACACAATTCATTAAAAACGTATAAAAAAACGATGGTCCGAAAATATTAGAGGCCATTTTAACTGTCTGTAACCAGTCTTTAACTGAACCGACTATTACTAAACTTTTATGCTCTGTTCCAGAATGTCACGAAACTTTCATCACCGCTTCTAGGGCTGTTGTGGATATAGAAATGATTATCATTCACAAAAATTACCTTTCTAAATACCTTTATCCGATATAGTACTACTAAAGTAAGACTCACGTTACAAGCTACTCCATATTATCTTCCATTAGTGCTTCTAGGCCTACTGTTGATATGAAAATGATTATCTCTCATAAAAATTATCTTGTCAAATACCTTCATCCGATATAGTACTACTAAAGTAAGACTCACATTACAAGCTACTCCATATTATCTTACATTAATGCTTCTAGGCCTACTGTTGATATGAAAATGATTATCTCTCAAAAAAATTATCTTGTCAAATACCTTCATCCGACATAGTTCTACTAAAGTAAAACTTGCGTCACAAATTACTCGATATCTTCTTCCATTAGCGTTTCTAGGATAGTTGTAGATATGTGTAATGATTATCTCTTACAAAACTTATTTTGTCAAATACCTATATTTGAGGTTGTGATGGTGGTGTAAAACTCACGTCACAAGTTACACGGTATCTTCTCCAGTAGCGCTTCTACAACTGTTGTAAATATGAATATGATTATCTCTTATTAAAATTATCTAATATAATTTTTTATCTTATATTGCAAGAGCTTAAGTGAGAAATTATTCACCATTTTCATTTTATTACATATTATCAAATTGAAATAAATCATTGGATCTTACCGAATTTCATTAAATTGTTGGTTTCCTCATCTGTAGTTGGAACTTTAGATTTTAGTTCTGATTGCGTGGAAACGAGACATGTTTTACTAGGTCTTATGTTCATCGATGGTACTACTTGCAGTTCTTCATTTAATTACCCATTTTCTTTAGTAGATCTTGGCTTGATAACTTTAGGCTGTTCCTTTTTATCAGAAATAACTTTTTCAAAAAACTTGATTAGTACGCCTACGCGACCCGGTGTGGGTGCTTCAGTTGTTGTCTGAATCAACGATAAATCTGCCACATGATTTAACGCTATTGGTATCGTCGGAATCGCTTTAGAATTTGCAGAGCTTGCACTCCCAGCAACAGCAACGCTTGGACCAGCCGTATTTTGAAATTTTTGTATACTTTGCAATGTTTTCATTTTCAGTTTTTTTATAGAACACTACAACTTTAATTTTGGATTCCAAAATATAGCTCTTGCTTTCAAATAAAAATTATTTTCTTGAAGTAATGGTGTGTGATATTTAAAATCAAAATTTTTAAAATTTCAATGCCATCTTTGTTAATATTTTTCTTGTCAACATGTTCATATAAACATCTTACAAAAATAAATCTCGTATGTTTAAAAAAGATACGTTTGGATTCCACTCTTCAATTTCTACAATAGTTAAATAATATATAAGGTGGTAAAATAACTTTACCCAAAAAAAACCTTACTAATTAATTTTTATATTTACGGACCTTTATATAAACATATCTTTCTTCAACCTATTAGGTTAGGTTAGGTTGTACCGGCGATTCCAGGGTAAGATGAAAAGTCTCATCTATATATATAGTAAGTTTTCTATATAAAGATTCAGGACAAAGAGTTAGTTGGTAGTCGCCAGCTACCAACTCCGCATTTAAGGGATGGGATGCATATTTCTACCAGTAGTCGACATATACTAAATTTTGCCCTCATTCCTCGCTAAGCCCATTTTCGCAGATTTCTTTTTGATAGCAACAGAAGTAGCTGTAACATTGTCCTTAGTACGCTCAAAGACGACGATGTCATGGGCGTAGAGTAAGGTGCTCCTTGCAGATATTATTTATACCTATTTTATAAAAACATATTAACGAAGTGCGTAAGTCAATAATATTATCAATAAATAATAACTTACGATTTTATATGAATATAACCGCATATATTATAAATCGAATATTTTATTCAATTCTTTCAGTTGTAATCATTATATAAATTATAAAAATAATAATGATAATAAAAATAAATAATAATAAAAATGAATAATAATAAAAATGAATAATAACAAAAAGGAATATTAATAAAAATTAATAATAAAGAAAATAAAATAAAATAAAAATGTATAATAAAAAAAATTAATAATAATAAAAATAATAATAATAAAAAAATTATTATATAAGAAATTAATAATAATCTACATATTAATAATAATAATAATACAAATTAAAAATAAAAGAAATGATAATAACAAAAATGAGTAATAATAAAAATGAATAATAAAAATAATAATAATATTAAAAATCTATAATAAAAGAATTTAATAATAATAAAAATGGTAATAATAAAAATTATTTATAATAAAAATTATTAATAATATATATTAATAGGTGTGGTAGAAAGTGACTCCTGTCGACTCTGTCATGAGGAAAAGGAAACATCAGAACATGTTCTATGCAACTGCCCAGCGGTGGCAAGACGTAGACTCGATTACCTTGGAAGTGGGATATTAGTCCCAAGTCAAATAGGTAAAACTAAGCCCACAACAATTACAAGATTTATAAATAGTCCGAAATTGTCCTAGTCGGGGTGCTCTAATAGCCTATTACTTAAATAAATAAATAATATTAATAATAATAATACAAATTAAAAATAAATGAAATTGATGATAATCAAAATGAGTAATACTAAAAATGAATAATAGAAAACATGAGTAGTAAAAAATTAATAATAATAAAAATAATAATAATAATATAAATATAAATAATATTAATACATAAACAATAATAAAAATAATAATAAAAATAATAATAATTAAAATCTATTATAAAAGAAATTAATTATAATAAAAATGAATAAAAATAAAAATTAACAATAATATAAATAAGTAATAGTAAAAATTAATAATTATAAAAATTAAGAAAAATCAAAATTTAATCACTATAATCAAGATAATTTTAATTATTTTTATAACTTAATAGTCACAGTAAAAAGTAAAAAAATTTTCTAAATAAAAGTTCTTCTCTCAATAATCTCTCACATATTTTTCTCTCTTAAAATTTATTCTAAGCTTACATTTTCGTGAGAGCAATTGTGCTTCTAACTGCGTTCCAAACTGGTTTCCATAATGTGCGGTTTTAAGCTCGGCTTGATTTTTGTGTTGGCAACAAACAAGCAGAAATTGAGGTTTACAATATTTTTGATTATAATTTTTCTTTTATTTTTGTCTGAAGTTTTTGTTGTTACTTTTTTGTGTGCTTTTACTGGTTTCTTCCATATTGTATTTTTTTTTTATGTGTTGAATCAGTGCTCTGACTTTGTAACATACTTTTTTCGTACTTACTTTTGATTTTATTTACTCGCATTTTTTTGTGTTTATTTACATTTATTTTTCTGGTTTTTACACCTCTTGACTTAAACTAAATTATGTTCTTATTTTTAGCGCGTTTTATTTTTTTTTTTTCGTTCTTTTTTTTTTTGTCATACACGTTTTGTGTGTTTCTGTTTAAATTTGTTGGCATGAATTAAAAGCTTTTGTAGTGCTTTTATTCTTCTTTATTGGGATTTGGATTCAAAGCAATTCGTGCCTTTACTTATGATTGCTTTTAGAAGCTTAGCTTGATAAGTGCTACGTGGAGTCTAATCCATCGATACAAACGCGATCTCAATCGAGAGTGCTACAAGTGAAACTCAATCTCTATTATTTATTTTCCAAATATTATCGGGTAGTAACTATTGGATGTTAGTCGCCTAACATGTTAGATCGAATGCATCATAACTGGTGATGAGACATGGGTCTATGAATTTGACATGCCCGCTAAACGACAATCGACCGAATGGTGCTTCGAAGGTGAGCCGAAACCGAAAAGAGAACGCCAAAGTCGGTCCAAAATCAAGGTTATGCTGACTGTTTTCCTCGATATACGTGGTGTGGTGCACTATGAATTCCTTTCAGATGGTCAAATGGTCAATAAGGAGTATTATTTGGCCGTTATGCGTCGTTTGTGTGAGGCCTTTCGCAAAAAGAGGCCAGATTTATGGAAGGAAAACTCATGGATTTTACACCACGATAACGCACCGGCTCAGACAGTGTTAGTTGTGTCGCAGTTTTTGGCCAAAAATTCCACCAATATCATCAACCAAGTACCGTCGTAGATATGGCCCCGTGTGACTTTTTCATCTTTCCCCGACTCAAATTGCCATTGCGAGAACCATAGACGCGTTTTGAGACCATAGAGAATAAAAGAGAGAAAGGCCATACCTTCGGCGGCCTATAAAACTTGTATGGAAAATTGGATCAAGCGTTGGCATGCATGTATTGCCGCAGGAGGAGAATACTTTGAAGGCGATAATAAATTAAAAATTAAAATTTTGCTTTTTTTTTTAAATTCTCGTTCTTTTTTGATTAAATGGTATATATATTTACATAAAAATTTCGTAGCTTTATTTTTTAAAATTTTTTATCAAAATTATATTATATATGCCAAAAAATCTTCGACAAACATTTTGATAATATATAGAAGTACTAAGTTGACAACATATGGAACCAAATTCTTATTTAAACTCAAACATAATAACACCAATTAATTACTTACATATTTTAGTAATTAATATTAGCTAAAAATACTTAGTACTTCCTTTTTATAAAAATAGAAAAGTCTGGAAGTGTATTGAAATAGGGAATGGTTGAGAGTTGAAGCAAATTCTTGTTAAAAATGTGGAAAAACAAACTATCAGTGCTTTACATATGCTTCCAAGTTAATGGTTTACTAAATAAAAATATTTTAATTTGCCCTCTCCTTCCGCTTTGCTTGTCTTTGTTATATTATTTATGTCTTATGTTATAGTTTACCCATAATTTACAATGCTGGCATCTCTGGAAGCAATGACGCAAAAAATGTTAGCACAAATATACGTACAAATATTAGAACGCCAACATTTGGTAGAGCTGCTGCATTTGGTTCTGCATCGTCACCAGGAGTATCATCAGAAGAATCATGTTGTTGTTGCTCTTCATCGGTGTCTTCAGCATTAATAGCAGGTTCTTCTGTTGCATTACTCTCAACATCTTCACTACGATTTGCTAAACTTTCTTCGGCGGGATCAGTATTTGATGCACTCTCATTTTGTATCTCTTGAGGAGCTTGTGCTTGAGCCTGCTGTACTTCCTCGACACCTTGGCGTATTTGATCGTTATTGTTGCGATTTATATTATTATTATTGCGTTCTGGTCGAAA